TTTTTGCTAATGGCTCAACTTTCTATTTAAACCAATGATGGCTGGGCCCGGCGCAGCAGCCTAGTAACTAAAGTCCTTGCCTTGCACATGCCAGGATTTCTTTTTCTTTTCTTTTCAAATTTATTTATTTTTTATTGCAAAGTCAGATATACAGAGAGGAGAGACAGAGGGGAAGATCATCCGTCCGATGGTTCACTCCCCAAGCGGCAGCAACGGCTGGAGCTGAGCCCATCCGAAGCCAGGAACCAGGAGCTTCCTCCAGGTCTCCCATGAAGGTGCAGGGTCCCAAGGCCTTGGGCCGTCCTCGACTGCTTTTCCAGGCCACAGGCAGGGAGCTGGATGGGAAGTGGGGCTGCTGGGATTAGAACCGGTGCCCATATGGGATCCTGGTGTGTTCAAGGCGAGGACTTTAGCTACTACGCTATCACACCAGGCCCATAAATCTTTGAAAGAAGAAAAACACAACGGAGGTAAATAGGAGGATGGAAAATGTAATGTTTTTCAGTATCAGTATGTGAGAACAGTCTAAGTAGTTCACTCAAAAGACAAAGAATGTCAGATTGGAAAGAAAAGCAAGATCTCACAGAATGTTGCTTGTAAGAGACAGATCTTATAAACTCGAAAATACAAATAATCAAGGAGAAAAGGATGGATGGGAGTGGGGCAGGCATTTTGGTTACTGGGTAAAGCTATGTGGGATGCCCACATCCCATACTGGAGGTCCTGTGTTTGAATTGAGGCTCCACTTTGACCCCGGTTTCTTGCTAATATGCACCCTCAGAGGCAGCAGGTGAGAGCCAAGCAGGTGCCACTCTTGTAGGAGAGTTGGACTGAGTTCCAGGCTCCTGGGCTTCAGCTCAGCCCCGGCTGTTGTGGGCATTTAGGTGGTGAACCAAAAAATTAGCATTCTCTCTCACATATTAAATCAGTAAAAATGAAAAATATATACCATGGGGGCTGGTGTTGTAGCACAGCAGCTTAAACATTTGCTTGCGATAATAGTATCTGTCATCAAGAGTGCCGGATGGCTTAGCCCTGGCTGCTCCACAGCTTCTCTCTAATGTGCCCAGGAAGGCAGCGGATGATGATGGTTCAAGGACTTGGGCCTCCGCCACACATGTGGGAGACCAAAATGGAGGTTCAGGCTCTTGGCTTCAGCCAGGGCCAGCCCTGCCTGTTGTAACCATCTGGGGAGTGAAGCGAAGGACAGATCTTTTTCCTTTTCTCTCTCAATAAATAAATAAATAAGTAAATAAATAAATAAATGTTTATACACACACATACACAAAAGTAACTTAAATTGTGGTGGTGACAAATTACATTCAACCGCAGCACAATTCAACAACAAAGGGAGACTCTTTCTGACAGAGTGCCAAGACAATCAGATAATATATGCAAGATCTAAAAAATTCTAGACACTTACCTTCTATCACATGTTAAATTTAACTCAAAATGACTCACAGACCTAAATGTAAGAGTTAAAACTATAAAACTACTAGAAGCAACCACAAGAGCAAAACAATGTGACCCTGGATTAGGATAAAAAATTCTAAGATATGGTACTAAAAGCACTAAAAGATCAATAGACCAATTTCATTAAAATTAAAAACATTTGTGTTTCAAAAGACACAGGGGGCCCAGCCTGATGGCTCAGTAGCTACATACTGGCCTTGTACGTGTCAGGATCCCATATAGGTGCTGCCTTGGGTCCTGGCTACCCCACTTCCCATCCAGCTCCCTGCTGTGATCTGGGAAAGCAGTCAAGGACGGCCCAAAGCCTTGGGACCCTGCACTCACATGGGAGACATGGAAGAGGCTCCTGACTCCTGGCTTCAGATAGGCTCAGTTCCCTGACTGTTGTGGCCGCTTGGGGAGTGAACCAGCGGGTGGAAGATCTTTCTGTCTTCTATAAATCTGCTTTTTCAATAAAAATAAAAATAAATCTTAAAAAAAAAAAGACACTGGGGGCTAGTCTGGGGTGCTAGCATTGTGGCATAGCACATAAGGTTCCTGCTTGCAATGCTGGCATCTCATCTCTTATGTGTACTGGACCCAGTGCTGGCTGCTCCATTTTTTTTTTTTAAGGTTCTACTTATTTTTATTTGAAAGGCAGAGTTACAGGGAGAAGAAGAGGCAGAGAGATCTTCCATCTGTTGGTTCATTCCCCAAATGGTCATAATGACTGGAGCTGGGCTGGTCAAAAGCCAGGAGCCAGGAGCTTCCTTCTGGTCTCCCGCAGGGGTGCAGGTGCCCAAGTACTTGAGCCGTCTTCTGCTGCTTTCCTAGGCCACAAGCAGAGAGCTGGACGGGCAGTGGAGCAGTTGGGACATGAGTTAGTGCTCATATGGTATGCCAAGACTCTGTACCTCGCCAACACTTCTGATCCAAGCCTCTGCTAATATGCTTGGGAAATCAGTAGAAGAGGGCCCAGATGTTTGGGCCCCTGCAACCACCTGGGAGACCCAGAAGCTCCTGGCTTCAGCGTGGCCTAGTCCCACCAGCTGCGGCCATGTAGGGAGTAAACTAGTGGTTGAAAAGCCACTCTTTTCTCTCTTTCCTTTTTCCTCTATAACTTTACCTTTCAAATAAACTAAATATATATTTTTAAAAAGACAAACCACTGGAAAGTGAAGACAAGCCCTACTCAATGAAAGGATTTAAAAAGGTTTATTTTATTACTTCTTTATTATAAAAAATTTATATTTGTTGGAAAGGCAGTCACAGAGAGGAGAAACACAGAGAGAAAGATCTTCCGTCCAGTGGTTCACTCCCCAAGTGTCCACAACAGCCAGAGGTGAGCCAATCAGAACCAGGAGTTTCTTCCGGTTCTTCCCTTTGGGTGCAGGGGCCCACTGGGCTATCCTCCATTGCTTTCCCAGGCCACCAGCTGGGAGCTGGATTGAAAGTAGAGCAGGTGGGACATAAAGTGGTGCCTCTATGGGATGTCTGTGCTCGGAGGTGGAGGATTAGCCAATTGAGTGAATATGCTGGCCTAAGGAGGACATATTTGGAAATAATTTCTTTACAACAAAGCTCTAGTGCCCAGGATACGTAAGCAACTGTTACAAGTCAATAATTCCATAATGAGAAGCCAAACATTCCAGAATGAACATAATATGTAGATATTCCACTAAAGAAAATGCAGAAATAGGCAATAAACACACGGAGAGGTGATAACATCACTAGGACACTACATGAGATGACACTGCATGCCCAGAATGGCTACAATCAAAACATAAGAGGATGCTAAGTGTTGGCAAAGATAAAGAAACTGAAACCCTCCCGGAGAAATGGAAAAACGTAGAGATGGTAGGAGTTCAAAGTGGTACAGCCATCCTGGCAGTGTGTCAGAATCTTAGTTACCACACGACCGTGCAACTCCACACCTAGGGGGATTTGCCAGCAGAAATGAAATGCACACACACCCAGAACCTTTGGCATGAATGTTCACAGCCACATTTTTCCTCAAGAGCTTGAGCTAGTAACAGTCCAGCTGCCCACAGCTAAGGAATGCCTACACTGGGATTCCATCTAGCAGTAAAGTTACAAAGAGCTAACACACAATCGAGTATACCCTGAGAGCGGCCGGGCTCCCAACACTGCATTTTACATGACTCTGAGTGTATGAAACACCCGAAAAGACAGATTTACAGAGAACACAAATGGGCAAGTGCCTAGGAGAGGGAGGCAGCACCGGGCAGAACTGTTCTGTCCTTCAAAAATCAGTCACTAGTGTATCTAACAATGGATGAATCCTATGGAATATAAATCACAGCTCAATACAGATGCTACAAGAAAGTGTCATTACTAGCTGCCAGGCTCTCACAGCGAACATGGGAGCAGTGACGACAGTGCAGCGAACAGGGTCATGGAGTGAGCGTCCATTCCCACGCACATTAAGCAGACACTTTCCAGAATGCACCGTGCGCCTCTGCTTCCCCATGCAGGGGACGGCCTTCCCCAGGGCCAAACGTCACTCCTTTTGTGTACTCTCCAATCCCACACATTCTAGCTCACTGCATCCTTTCCTGGAACTTATCAGGTGTCCTGGACTAGACTGCAAGGCTCTCTCTCTACAGCAAAACACTCAGCTCCCTCAGCTGTACAGCTGGATGCCCAGCTGGGCCTGGGAACACAGTGAACTACTCTGTGAGCGGATTTGGCCAATTCACGCAGGGAAACTTCGGGAGCAAACCGTGTGAAGGCAGCAGAGGAGTTAGGCTATACTTCTTCTTTTTTTTTTTTTTTCCATTGCAGAAGTATAAACCAGCATAGAAATCTGTATATCAAACAGAAACAGAAACCGTCCTTGGCTACCAGCAAAAATTCCACAAGCAAATATTAACTTGGCAAGATCAGTGTTCTCAAAGCATGGCACCACGAGACAGATCCAGTGTCCTCTCGGGGACCTGTCAGGATTAGCACAGACGCCCAGCTCTGTCTTTGTACCTCGGGGGGGGGGGGGAGGCAGAGGACTGTGCCGGTGCCCACAGACAGGCCACCTGGCCAGGCCACCTGCCTCCGGCGACCCCTTTCTACCTCCATTTATCAGGTCGAACGCACAGCAAGCTGGCATTGGGACACATCCCTGGGCCAGTGTCCCATCGCGGTTCCTATTCTGGAATAGGGACCCAAGCAGGTGAGGCCAACAGCTCGGTTACCAAGGCCATCCCAGAGCTGCTGCAAGCATGGGGCGTGGGTGAGGAAGGGATGCAAGACACGAGGGTGGCCAAGTGCAGAGCCAGGGACGCGAGGAGTTGGGGGCAAGGGCGTGGAGCATCTGGCTCGGCCACACATCAGGCAAGGCTGGTGGCGAGGGTCGACGAGGGGACGTGCGCAGGGGGACAGGGGACCACGGCCCTGAGTTTGGGAACCGCTGCGCTCCGATGCAGGAGGCCCTGCCCCTTTACGCGAGAGGGACCAGCCGTCCCGGGACGCGTCACGCAAGCAAGCGGGTCGGGCCCCGCCAGCCGGGCAGCCGCCCAGGCCCCGGGACTCACCTTCCTCCCTCCCCACCGGCTGCGCGCCCGACACGGCTTCCCACAGGCGGCGCGCCCTCTCGCGGTCGAAGCGCACCCCGTCCGGTTCCCCGCCCTCCCGCTCCTCCGAGCGACGGTGAGGCCCAGCCCCTGCGCGGTCTGCAGCCTCCACCGTGGCCAGAGCGGGACACTCCATCTTCCCCTCAAACCCTCAACCGGCCCAAGTCGCTCAAGCGCCCTGCTATCGCGAGATGTGGGTGGGCAGGAGACTCGGCCGGCAGCAAGTCTCGCGAGGTTTGAGCGCTCTATCCCGCGTCGCGGAACCGGCTGTGGCGCCCGTTTTTTCCCCTCTTGGCTGCTTCGGAGCAGGTGCTGTGGGCTGGGAATGCCGGAGGCCGGGTTCGTGTGTGGTTCTTGCCACAGGAGTCCCGCGTGTCTCACCGTCAGCCTTTGACGCTTGTCATTTCGTTCGCACGAAGGTTCTGTTCCGTGGGGAAAATGTCACCCATTTCAGCTGTGGTCCGGCACCTGGAAAGTTAATTCAGGAGTTCGCTGTTAGTGGTCCATCTCCGCGCTCCGGTTATTGCTAAAGACACATAATCACTTGTTGCCTCTCTCAAGTGCTAACCCCTTGAACTTCAAATCTGTGTGTCCGACAGTCAATTTGGCAGCTCCACTTGGATGTTTAGGAGCTGCCCCGGGGCCCGGCGCGGTAGTCCAGTGCCTCAGTCCCCACCTTGCGCGCCTGGGATCCCATATGGGCGCTGGTGGGTGTACCAGCTGCTCCACTTCCCATCCAGTTCCCTGCTTGTGGCCTGGGAAAGCAGTCGAGCCCTACCTCAGCCAAATATAAAAAGAGGTTAGATGGTTTTTATTCCAGGAAACCACGGTCATCGGCTTATCTTACTTCGAGGACTGCCCAAAGCCTTGGGACCCTGCACCTGCGTGGAAGACCCAAGAAGCTCCTGGCTCCTGGGCTCAGCTCTGGCCATTACTACCATATAGGGAGTGAATCATCTGAACATCGTTTTCTTTGTCTCTCCCTCTCTCTCTGTAAATCTGCCTTTCCAATTAAAAAAGCTGCCACTCCCATCTTATCCTTCCACCCCAGGTCTGACCCTCAGCAGCCTTTGGAAGCAGCATCTCTGAGCTGCTGAGTTGTGTGGCAGCATGCTGGGCCGCTTCCCACAACAGCTTTTGTGTGTGTGTGTGTGTGTGTGTGTGTGTGTGTGTGTGTGTGTGTGTGAGAGAGAGAGAAAGAGAGAGAGAGAGAGAGAGAAATGAGAACAGAAGGCATTGGCTGATGTAGTAAGTTAAGCTGCCAGGTGAGTTGCTAGCATCTCGTATTAGACTGCCTGTTGGAGTTGCAGCTGCTGTGCTTCTGATGCAGTTCCCTGCTAATGCGCCTGGGAAAGCCATTGAAAATTGCTCCAGGACTTAGAACCCTGTTACCCATATAGATTGGAGTTCCTGCTCTGTCCAGCTCCAGCCATTGCTGGTGTCTGTGGAGTAAACCAACAGATAGCTTGCACAGTGAACCAGCTCTCCGTGTCTGTCTCTTTCTCTGTTTTCCTGCTGCTGGAATAGATTGAATAATTATTATTTAAGAGGCAGAAAGGTAATTACTTTAATTAAGAAACAGAGAGGCTAGAGAAAGAGAGCTCCCATTATATAGTTCACTTCTGGCCAGGCTGAAGTCAGGAGCAGGAGCCCCACCCTGGCCTTCCGTGTGGGTGGCAGGAATTTAAGTGCTGGAATCATCACTGCTGCCTCCTGAGGCTGCATTAGCAGGAAGCTGCAGTCAGGAGGTGGAGCTGGGACCTGCTCCCATGCACTTACTGTGGGTTGTGGACATCCCGGCTGACATCTTAACTGCTAGACCAAACTACCACCCCTGAACAAAAAAAATTAAAAATTATTCTAAGGGTTCCTGGAAGGGTTCTTTTGGATGAGATTAACATTTTAAATGTATTTTTAAAAATGTATTTGTTTATTTATTGCAAAGCCAGATATATAGAGAGGAGGAGAGACAGAGAGGACAATCTTCCATCCACTGGTTCACTCCCCAAGTGAGCGCAATGGCTGGTGCTGTGCCCATCCGAAGCCAGGACCCAGGAACTTTCTCCAGGTCTCCCATGTGGGTGCAGGAACCCTAGGCTTTGGGCCGTCCTCAACTGCTTTCCCAGGCCACAAGCAGGGAGCTGGATGGGAAGCAGGGCTGCAGGGATTAGAACTGGCACCCATATGGGATCCCGGCGTGCTCAAGGCGAGGACTTTAGCTGCAAGGCCAACGTGCCGGGCTCTTAAATGTATTTTTAAAAATTTATTAAAAATTTTTCATTATTATTTTTTATATTTTGACAATCTTTACATAGTTTCTTAAATGTGTTTTTAAAACTTTAGCACTTGATAGTTTTAAACATTTGCAATATTCATTGCTTATGTAGGTATTATATATGTACTATTTTTGTTGATATATGTTATATGCACTATTTTTCTTGAATTAGGGATATTATTATTGCAAAATGTGGAATGCATGACAGTGGTGCTAAGAGGGGAAAGTACATGCCATGTACATAGCATAATTCAGTGAGGCAATATTTAAACTCTAAACCATAATAATAATAATAATAATAAATATGATATCCACACAATTTTCATAAACATTGACTTTTGCAAATAGAACATTTGATACCAGTCTTTCTGAATCTGCCTTATTTCATAGCTAGGATCTTCAATCCTATCCATTTTGTTGCAAATGTCAAGGTTTTATTTTTCAAATGACTAATTAATAGTTAATTACTTAATTTGCATATACACATTTTCTTTATGCATCTTCTGTTGATGGACATCCCGTGGGGAAGGCCTGGAGGCAGCTTCTGGCTCCCAGCTTCAGATGGGTTCAGCTTTGCCCATTTGTGAGTGAACCTAGCAGGTAGACGTCCTCTCTGTCTCTCCTCGCTCTTTTTAAAAATCTGCTTTCAAGTAAAAATAAATAAACCCTTTACAAAACAAATCCATGTAACCTTTTACATAGGCAGGGAGGTAGCTGGCAAGGAGGGAGTGGGCTTGCCAGAAGCTGCACTGTTGCCCTGTGTGTGTCACAGCTCCATGTTCACTCCCCAAACCTGACTTGTGCGCAGAGCACAGCTGGCCAGGCAGCAGCTGCAGGGAGGGTGCTTCCTCCCAGGATTTCATCGCTTTAGAATGGATACCTGCTAGAAATATCTAACATTTCTATTAGACAGCAGGCTGCACACCCACCATGCACATTGTGCCATTATAATAAAATGACCACGGCCGACACATTCACTCTCGCAGCCATGACACTTCTAGGATCCCTAAAGCAGGGTGTGGAAGTAGACAGTCCTTGTGTCCCACCCTGCCTCCTATGAATATTCAGTTAAGCCCTAGCCCAGACACCCTCCCTCCGTGTTGTATAGGAGGGTAACCCTGACCCTTGCTGGTTGCAGGCCATGCTCTCCAGAGCTTGTCTGCTCTTCCTCCCTGCGTGTGTATTTTTCCTTTCCTGCTCACCTTGACTCATGTCTCTGTTTTGAGCTTTTTCTCAGGTGGAGACGAGCACCCGGACCAAGCCTAGCCGAGAACCACCGCCACAATACTTTCTTTTTTTAAAAGATTGATTTATTTTTATTTGAAAGGCAGAGAGACAAAGAGAGAGGTCTTCCATTTGTTGGTTCACAATGGCCAGAACCAAGCTTCTTCCAGGTCTCCTATGCAAGTGCAGGGTCCCAAGGCTTTGGGCCGTCCTTCACTGCTTCCTTAGGCCACAAGCAGGGAGCTGGATGGGAAGTGAAACAGCTGGGACTCTAACTTAACCTGCCAGGCTATGGCAACCAGCACCCTCCAAACAACACTGTCATCTGCTTTCCCAGATACCAACAGCTCATCAGGTTTTTCATTTGTTTGTTACAGATTTATTCATTTTTTTTTATTGGAAAGACAAATTTACAGAAAGAAGGAAACACAGAGAGAAAGATCTTCCATCTGCTGGGGTTCACTCTCCAGATGGCTGCAGCAGTCAGAGCCGAGCTGATCCAAAGCCAGGAGCTTCTTCCAGGTCTCCCACACAGGCGCAGGGTCCCAAGCCCTCAGGCCGTCCTCGACTGCTTTCCCAGGCCACAAGCAGGGAGCTGGATGGGAAGTGGAGCTGCCGGGATTAGAACTGGCGTCCGTATGAGATCCTGGCATGTTTGAGGCAAGGACTTTAGCTGCTAGGCTACCGTGCTGGGCCCTGGATTGTTTGTAAAGATCTTATTTATGTAAAAGTAAGAATTGCAGAGAGAGAGACAGATAGACACATACACACACTGAGAGAGAGAGAGAGAGAGAGAGAGAGAGAGAGAGAGAGAATATCTTCCATTGTTTCTTAATGGGCAATGCTGAACCAGGTTGGAATCAGGAGCCTGGAACTCTGCCCAGGATTCTCACGTGGGTGGCAGGGCCCCAAACAGCTGAGCCATCTTCTGTTTTCCCCAAGTACATCAGCAGGGAGTGGAACTGGAAGTGGAGCAGCTGGTACATGAATCAGTGTGCACACGAGTGGCATTGTAGGTGGCAGTGTAACCTACAAATCCAGCCCCCAAATTAATGCATTTTTGACATTAGTACCATAGGAATCATATTAGGACCCATGTAATATTGATGTGTCCCTTACTTGTGCTATCTTTTACCAATTGGTTAAAGTACTATTTTTCCTTTTATTTAATGTTTAATTAAATTAGTATTTTGCAAGGAAATTATTAGAAAGTATGCTGTAATTTATCATCTTCTTATCCACTTATCACTCATTGATGACATTCTTCCTAATTATTACTATGCTGGCTGTCCAGGGGTGATCTTTTTTTTTTTTGAAAGATTTATTTTTATTATTTTTTATTGGAAAGGCGGATATACAGAGAGGAGAGACAGAGAGGAAGATCTTCCATCCACTGATTCACTCCCCAAGTGAGCGCAACGGCCGATGCTATGCTGATCCGAAGCCAGGAGCCTCTTCCGGGTCTCCCACACAGGCGCAGGGTCCCAAGCCCTCAGGCCGTCCTCGACTGCTTTCCCAGGCCACAAGCAGGGAGCTGGATGGGAAGCGGGGCTGCCGGGATAGAACCGGCGCCCATATGGGATCCCGGGCGTGCAAGGCGAGGACCTTAACCACTGTGCCACCGCGCCGGGCCCGACATAACGGTTTTTAACGGAAGGTCTGAATAAAGCGCCTCTGAGACTCTCTCCAGTGTCGGGTGATTTCTTCCGCGGGACGGGAGACCCCCGATACTAGGCTACTGCACTGACTCCTAAATTTATCTTTTTAAAGAATATAATTTATTTTTACTTGAAAGGCAGAGTTATACAGAGAGATGGAGAGACTTGAAGAGATCTTCTACCTGCTGGTTCACTCCCCAAATGGCCACAACAATCAGAGCTGAGCTGATCCGAAGCCGGAAGCTTCTTGGGTGAAGGGGCCTAAAGATTTGAACCATGCTCCACTGTTTTCCAATAAACAGGGAGCTGGATTGGAAGTAGAGCAGCTAAGACATAAACCAGCATCCACAAAGGATAATGGTGCCATAGAGGCTTAGCATGCAAGCCTTATTGCTGAAACCAATTTTTTTTTTAAGTGAAAAATGAGGTTGAGTGGAAGAGAAAGAATGAGACAGGGTACCACTTGTTGGTACTACACTAAAGCTAGGAGCTGGAAACTCCCTGTGGGTCTCTGCTGTGGGTAGCAGGGGCTGGGCACTTGCACCACCATGTCCTGTCTCCCATGACACATGAACAGGAAACTGGATTGGAAGTGCTTGGACTGGTAGGGGTGAGGCATCCCAAGGAATGGCTTCACCTACTGTGCCACAGCACATGCCTCCAACGTCCCGTGTTAAACACTGGAAGCCCCATGTACGTCTGATGTGCACTCATCCTTCTTGGAACATTTCTTTGGCACACAACCTGGTGCCACATGCTCATCTTTTACTGGAGTTACCCATTCTCCTGGGGAGCCCTCTGTAGGAGAATGCTATTTCAATGGTAAGCTCTTGCAGTTGTACTCAGTACTGTTGAGGTATCGTCACCTATAGGCTTTCTCAGTAGAGATACACACTTGTGGGTGTCTGCATTTACCAACCTTGTTAATATATATATATATAATTTAGGATGTGAAACATTAGCATGGTTCTCAAAGTAGAGCTATTCAAAAAGGTAGTCATATGAACTCCTCCCTCGCCACATCTCTAGCCCATTCCAGGTACCACTCCTCCCATCATTCTTTGTTGTTCTACCCACCTACTGTAGGTTCCACCTACTGATTTGTTCTTTGTAGGATGTTTGCATGTGTAGGTGGTCTTTGTCTGATGCGGTGGATTACTTTTACATAACACTCCACTGATCGGATGCTCTATTTTATTGTGAGTGGCCATTGAGATTATTCTCAATCCTAGTGCCTAGGAAGCAAGTCATAGTGGTTTTTTTTTTTACATAAAGATTTATTTATTTATACTTTTTAAAAAATATTTATTTATTTATTGGAAAGTCAGATATACAGAGAGGAGGAGAGACAGAGAGGAAGATCTTCCGTCTGATGATTCACTCTCCAAGTGCCTACAATGGCCGGTGCTGTGCTGATCTGAAGCCAGGAGCCAGGAACTTCTTCTGGGTCCCTCACACGAGTGCAGGGTCCCAAGGCTTGGGCCATCCTCAACTGCTTTCCCAGGCCACAAGCAGGGAGCTGGATGGGAAGTGGAGCTGCCGGGCCCATATGGGATCCCGGCAGGTTCAAGGCGAGGACTTAGCCACTAGGCCACGGCGCCACTGGGCCCAATTTATTTAGACTTTTTATTGGAAAGGCAGATTTACAGAGAGAAGGAAAGACAGGAAAAGATCTTCCATCTGCTGGGGTTCACTCTACGAGTGGCCACAACGGCTGGAGTTGGGCTGATTCCAAGCCAGGAGCCAGGAGCTTCTTCTGGGTCTCTCATGCAGGTGCAGGGTCCCAGGGCTTTGGGCTGTCCTCGACTGCTTTCCCAGGCCACAGGCAGGGAGCTGGATGGGAAGCAGGGCTGCGGGATTAGAACTGGTGCCCATATGGGATCCCAGTGCATTCAAAGCGAGGACTTTAGCTGCTTGACCACCGTGCCGGGCCCTGCTTACATTTTTGAAAAGCTGCTTCTGTAACGTCTTCCTGGGCACATCTGAAGGACTTCCTGTATTTTTTTTCTTACATGTGAAATTTTGGAGTAATTACGGTGCACATTTAATATTTCGCCACACAGAAGTGGACTTGTCCTCAAAAACGATCGCTCTAATTTTACTCTTCTACCCACGTTTTGTGAATTTCTAGTTTCAAGATTTGTCTCCTTCCTCTGAAATCATCAAACATGCACATTTTACCATGCGAGGATGTAGGTTTTACTTGATCATGTAAACTGTTTCTGTTTAAGTCTGGCAACACACGAAGAAGGGGCCAGAGGAGGTCTGACGTGGCAGAGCCCACTCTGCAGAAGCGTTGCCTGCAGAGGCCTGGTGCCCTGTTGCTGGTTCTGGACTAGCCAGCCGGTGGTGCAGCGGGACTCAAGCCCGCAGCGCCCTCTGCGCGGCGCACCCCCGCCTCGCGCACTTGGTACGTCCCGGCTGCGGCTCCCCCCCCCCCGCTGCGCCGCTTGGTCCCGCCTCCCAACGCTCGCGCATGCGCCCGAGAGCCGAGAACATTCGTTGGCGTCCATCGCACCCGGGCTCGGCGCGTCCGGGCGGCCGCCGGCTCCTGACGCGCTGGCGACCTCCGGCACCTCGGAGGAGGGGCTCGGCGGAGCGGCGCGAGCCGGCGGGTGAGAGAGTGAGTACCTGCCGGCCCGGCACACCTCCGGCCCGCCCCCGGCCCGCCTCCTCGGCGCGTCCGCCTCCTCGGCGCGTCCCCTCAGCTAGGTAGGCCTCTCGGGACGCCGGGGGGCGGCTGGGTCTTCGGAGTCGACGGGGTGGTCGCCTAACGACTCCCGAGTGGGGGGCGGGCTTCCGCCGGGGGCGAGGGGCGGGCCTGGCTTCTCGCACCTTCTCCCGCCGCCGTCGGCTGCGCCTGCTCTCCTCACGCGGGTCCGCAAGAGGAACGGGCGGCCACGTTACTAGTTGGTGGCGAACAGTTCTTGCCCTCGCTTTTTCCTTTTCCCGCGCAGATAGAGGTTTCCTGTGGAAATCCTCACCGCCACGTTCCCCTCAGCCCCTGAGCGCGGCCACAGGCGAGGCACCCGCGCTTCCTTTCATCCCCGGTCCCGCCAGCCTCGGGTGGTGACAGCACGTTGGGCTGTCCCCCGGAATCCGGGCCCCCGACGCTCCCGCAGCCGGTCAGCAGGGCACTGTACCCCCGAATCCGGGCCCCCCGACGGTCCCGCAGCCGATCGCTGTCCCCCCCGAAGCCAGGGCCCCCCGAAGGTCCCGCAGCCGGTCAGTGGGCACTGTCCCCCCGTAGCCGGGCCCCCCGACGGTCCCACAGCCGGTCAGTGGGCATTGTACCCCAGAATCCGGGCCCCCCCCAGGGTCCCGCAGCCGGTCAGCGGGGCTGTCCCCCGAAGCCGGGCCCCCTGACGGTCCTGCAGCCGGTCAGCAGGCCTTCCCCCCCCCCAATTTCGGGCCCCCCAGGGTCCCACAGCCGGTCAGCGGGCACTGACCCTAGGGTGGGCACTGAGGTCCCCCAGCTGATCACTGGCTGGTGCTGGGCTGGGAGGACGCAAGTCTTATGCTGCCTTTAGTTTAGATTTTTATTATCTTTTTTCCTATCAAGAGAGGCAGTACCTTGTACTTAAAGTACGTTTTTGGAGTCAGATGCGAAAGTGCGTTTTTGGAGTCGGATGCGTTGATGTTGAGCTCCAGCTAAACCTTTGACTGATTTGTTGGCCGGCTGACCAAGTTTTCTCGCATATGTTTAAAACAGTGATGTGGCTGTCATAGCCATAACATGCGTGAAGGATCTACTATAGGTCCAGCATTCAAGTCAGCCTGTGTCTAAACTTGAGACTGAGTATAAACTGGGCAAGAAAGTGAGTGTGTGTGACTAGCAGTGCATTTCCTTTGTTTTTGTTACAGAAAAACCAAGCTCATTGTAGTTCGTTTTTTGGTTAATTTCATTTTTATTGGAAAAGCAGGTTTACAGAGAGAAGGAAAGACAGAAAGAGCTTCCATCCGCTGATTCACTCCAGGCCACAATGGCTGGAGTTGAGCTGATGTGAAGCCAGGAGCCTCTTCCGGGTCTCCCACGCCGGTGCCGTCCTCGACCGCTTTCCCAGGCCACAGGCAGGGAGCTGGAAGGGAAGTGGAGCAGCCATTGGTACGGGATGCTGGTTCCACAGGGTTCAGGGTTAGTTTGCTAAGCCATCCTGCCAGTCCCAACCCTGTTGTAATTAAGTTTACAGAAAGAACTTAACCCCAAATTTCTGTAATACGGAATTGCACAGGTGTGTCAGTCATTCATAAAAATTGTTCTTAAGGTTCCGGTGCCCCAGAGCTTTCAAAGCTGTTTTGACAGGTTTGGTACCTAGAATGTCAAGATCTTTTTTTTTTTTTTTTAAGATTTATTTTTATTACTTTTTATTGGAAAGGCGGATATACAGAGAGGAGAGACAGAGAGGGAGATCTTCCGTCCGATGATTCACTCCCCAAGTGAGCGCAACAGCCAGAGCTATGCCGATCCGAAGCCAGGAGCCTCTTCTGGGTCTCCCATGCGGGTGCAGGGTCCCAAAGCTTTGGGCCGTCCTCGACTGCTTTCCCAGGCCACAGGCAGGGAGCTGGAAGGGAAGCGGGGCTGCCGGGATTAGAACCGGCACCCATATGGGATCCCAGGCGTGCAAGGCGAGGACCTTTAGCCACTTGCGCCACCACGCAGGGCCCGAATGTCAAGATCTTAAATTACCTTGTCTGCAATTGTTCTTCAGTTAGACCAGGATAATGGATGTGCTTAAAGAAATTGACAGGTGCTATGCCCCTCCCCCACTTGGGGATTGAAGTGCTACCTCAAAATAAGTAAGTCTTGTTATTGGTTCGACATTCAAGCTTGTGTGTTCCTCTGAAGCTATTTTGTTTCTGTCATGATTGAGGGTTGCTGTTTGTATGCAGGCTCAATTCCTCCTCCCTTGGTAGTTAACGGTAGTTCATTCTATAGCATCCTATAGTTCAAGTAGGGGACGGAAAGCCATTATTTTATTTAGTTCTTTATTTAGCTGTTGGCATACTACATTGACTTGCTTGTTTAAATTTACTGATTATTTTTTTTTTAGAATAGCTGTGGAGACAGTAATGTAACATGGTTAAATATCAGGAAGCACTGGAATTTTGGAACTTGTATTTGTGGGGTACCTCTGCTTAATGCTTTTTATTGATTCTGTCTCTGCTTTGATACCTTGGAAACACATGTTGAGTGCACAGTGCTATGCTACGAAGAAGGGTTTTTGTTGATTTGCCTGCCATTAAGAAATTACATGGGGGCCCGGCGCGGTGGCGCAAGTGGTTAAAGGTCCTCGCCTTGCACGCCCGGGATCCCATATGGGCGCCGGTTCTAATCCCGGCAGCCCCGCTTCCCTTCCAGCTCCCTGCCTGTGGCCTGGGAAGGCAGTCGAGGAAGCCCAAAGCTTTGGAAACCTGCACCCGTGTGGGAGACCCAAAAGAGGCTCCTGGCTTCGGATCGGCATAGTATCGGCCCGTTGCGCTCACTTGGGGAGTGAATCATCGGACGGAAGATCTTCCTCTCTGTCTCTCCTCTCTGTATATCCGCCTTTCCAATGAAAAAATAATAAAAATAAATCTTTAAAAAAAAAAAAGAAATTACATGTTAAATTTGAATGTACTAGTTTTTCTTAAAGATTTATTTATTTTTATTGCAAAGTCTGATAGACAGAGAGGAGGAGAGACTGACAGGAAGATCTTTCGTCCGATGATTCACTCCCCAAGTGAGCGCAACGGCTGATGCTATGCCAATCTGAAGCCAGGAGCCAGGAACTTCCTCTAGGTCTCCCAATCAGGTGCAGGATCCCAAAGCATTGGGCCATCCTTGATTGCTTTCCCAGGCCACAAGCAGGGAGCTGGGTGGGAAGTAGGGCTGCCGGGATTAGAACCGGCACCCATATGGGATCCTGGCACGTCCAAGGCGAGGACTTTAACCACTAGGCCACCGTGCTGGGCCCAGAATGTACTAGTTTTTTTTTTTTTTAAAGATTTATTTTTATTATTTTTTTATTGGAAAGGCAGATATACAGAGAGGAGAGACAGAGAGGAAGATCTTCCATCCGATGATTCACTCCCCAAGTGAGCACAACGGCCGATGCTATGCCAATCCGTAGCCAGGAGACTCCTCTGGGTCTCCCACGCGGGTGCAGGGTCCCAAAGCTTTGGCCGTCCTCAGGCCACAGGCAGGGAGCTGGAAAGGAACTGGGGCTGCCGGGATAGAACTGGCGCCCATATGGGATCCCAGGTGTACAAGGCGAGGACCTTAACCACTGCGCCACCACGCCAGGCCCCAGGATGTACTAGTTTTAATAGCTCAGTTATTCGGGCAACATTTAATGAGATGGAGATCACACTGTTAATGATGTTTTCCTAGGGGATTATGATTCCTCCTTCTTTCCTCCTGTCAGTCTCTGGTTCTCTGTCTCCTACTCATTCTCTTCAGGTATTCCCCACTGTCCTGGGCCGTCACCTTCTACCCTGCTGGCTTGACCAGAGTTTTCCCTTTCCTGTGTTCTGCCTGGATTCTGCAATTCAAGCTACTTTAGGTCCCATCTTGGTGCCCTTCTTTTGGCTTGTGCCTATTGGCTCCCCTATTTCTGTCCTTTTTCTCTGGTGATCTTACCACAGTCATGGTCTTTGATCAATCTAAAAACCTGAGCTAATCCAAAACCTGGAGCCAGGAGCTTCTTTCAGATATCCCACGTGGATACAGGGTCCCCAGGCCTTGCACCATCCACTGCTTTCCCAGGGTGTGAACAGGGAGTTAGATCAGAAGTGGTGCAGCTGCGATATGAACTGGAGCTCATATGGGATGTTGGCACCACATGCAGAGAATTAGTGTATTGAATCACTACACTGGCTCCCATATGCCTGCTTGTTTGTGTGTTTGTTTATTTATTTTTAAATAATATTTACATAGTTGAGAGGAATATATACACATGAGGACCTCTGATTAGGGGAAGGATGGTCAAGTTGTGGAGGAAGATGAATGAGATAGCTGTTTCAGTTCTTTTTCCTCCTGTATTTTCTCTCTCTCTCTCTCTCTCTTTTTTTTTTTTTTTTTTGCAGTTAGAGAAGTTCTATTTGTGAAGTGACCAGGTGAGTGGTGAAAAAGGGGAGGGGAAAGCACCTCCAAAGAGAGAGCTGGAAGGTGGGATGCCTCTTGAAAGGAGAGAAGAGACACCAAAGATTTGAGGAAGGATCTTGGGATTTTAAGCGTTCCCTGAAACTCCTTGTTGGATGGGAACCTATGCGCAAAAGGTTCCCCTTGGGTGGTCTCTTAAGCAGTTAGAATATGGGTGGGCAGTGCTTGTGCCATGTACTCGAAGGTCTGGCCAGTATCTCAGTCCTTGCCTTGCAAATGCCCGGATCCCATATGGGCGCTGTTCCTAATCCCAACAGCCCTGCTTCCCATCCAGTTCCCTGCTTGTGGCCTGGAAAAGCAGTTGAGAATGGCCCAAGGCCTTGGGACCCTGCACCTGCATGGGAGACCTGGAGGAGGTTCCAGGATCTTTTTGGATCGGCTTGGCTCTGGTCTGGCTGTTGCAGCCACGTGGGGAGTGACTCATCGGATGGAAGATCTTCCTCTCTGTCTCTCCTCCTCTATGCATATCTACCTTTCCAATAAAAATAAATAAATCTTTGGAAAAAAAATATATTCCTGTTAATTAAAAAAAAAAAAGAAAGAAAATAGAATAGGTAACTGTGTTGGCATA